TATTGTATCTTCTGAGAACTCAAACTTATTGAATGCTCATATACTCTCTGATTACTCCCTAAAACCGACTACTGATTCTCACGCCGGAGGTACAACGAGGGAAAAAGCCCCAACCTCATTTTGCAAGTAACATTCATTGATCGGAGCAACCAGAACACCCCACACATCATCATTATCGTGGAGGTAAATTTTGTGATTATTTCAGCCACCACACAAAATAAAATAACTTCAGAGTAATACGAACATAGTCTTATAGCCTAGTGGTAGTAGAAGTACGCATACTGGTTCAAATCCCATCTGCTACGCAATTAGTAATCAACCTTAAAAAGAACTTTTCTATTCTAACATTTCGTTTCATTTGCATAATTTTTAGGGGTAATTGGAGTCGCAGTACCAAATCTTTCAAAATGTCGCACCCGAAGTTCAAATTGATGATTACTGTTAGTTGATCAAATAATTGACCATGACAATAATTTTGACTAATTTTAAAATATTAAAAATTGTAATTCTACATTTTTTTATAATAAAATAACTAAAATCAAATAATTACAATTAAAAACCAACATCTTCTTCTCCATCCACCCCATACAGACCCACCCCCACCCCCACCACTGCCATCTCCTCTACCGCCACCAAAAAAAAAATTTCTTCCCTCTTCCTCCACATCCTCCTCTGCCTTATGGAGAAACTTGATAAATCTGAATTGCCATGGAGATGTCAACTCCAGTATTCTGGCTTTTCATAATTATGGAAAAGGGAAAAAAAATTTGAAAACCCACAAATGTCTTATCTTGAAAAAGAAACCCTTAAAACCCCAAAATGCGCGACTCGCCAATGAAAACCCAAAAAGCAAACCCATCGATGCTGCTTGTTGAAAACCCAGAAAGCAAACCCAAAAAATGGCCAAATTTTGAATTGAGAAAGAGGTTATTTTTGTGAGTGATCTGGTGGGGTGTAGCACAGAAAAGGTATGGCCCCAGCAGATCGCATCCAGGTTTCAGATTCCATTTGACTGATGAATGTTGGTGGTGATAGTAGTGGGGGTGAGTATATGTGGGGTGAATGGAGAAAAAGAAATTAGTTTTTGGTTTTTAAAATGTAAAGTTATCATTTTAGCCTTTTAAAATTAATCAAAATTATTGTGATGGTCAATTATTTGGTCAACTAACGATCAAACTAATAGAAACCATTTATTTGGACCTCAACTACAACATTTTGAAAAATTTGATACCGTGGATGAGACAAATGAAAGGTTTGAACAAAATCTGCTACTAAAAGAAAGGTTTGGTACTTTTGCTACAATTATCTCTATTTTTTATATGATTAACCCAAAATTTATTATATTTATGTTTTCTTAAAGTTTTTGAATAAAATAACAAATTTTATTATTTTCTTCAAATACCACTCACTTTTGGAGACGTGTGCTATGTCGACACCATAGCGTCATAGCCGATATAGCACAGTCAACCGTCGTAATACCCCGACAACCTTAAAAATCCAAGCTTTGCCACCGTCGGTAAAGAGTACAAAATTAAAATTTCAGTTTCATTTTCTTACTTAATAGAGCCGATGTTGTAAAGTCCACTTAACCAAACAAGCCTTTAAGGTATAACAACTTCTATTACATCTAGTGATAGCATAAGAGAAATTTCCAACAACAAATCCATCTGACTTGCAATCAGACATTGAGATAACCGAGTCGCCCTTTCCACATACGGAAAGAAAGAGTTCACAAGCAAAATTCAATGTTATAACTCACCTGAAATCATCGACTAAGCGACCAGCAACTCCATCACCACCCCTATTGCTCCGCCTCTTCTCGTAAGCTGCATTGTCTGTGGGCAACTCGTACCTACAAACCGGGCATGTATTCCTGATCTCAAGCCATGGCAAAATGCAGTCACCATGATAAAGATGGAAGCAAGGCATTCTAGTCATCTTCTCTCCAGCCGCAACATCCTCCTTACAAACTGCACAAACAACCGCATCATTGTTCTCCCGTACTTCGTCTACTGTCAACACTACTGAAGGCAAATTCTCCACCACAGATTTTGATGCAGGACGACCAAACTTTAAAGCATTCGCATTCTCCGCCAGTTGTTCCATAGTCATAATAAAATCATCTGAAAGATCAAAACGAGCAACTTCACTCCCATGGTTATGTTCTTCCGGGGTCTCAAAACCAGAATCCCTATCCAAATTATTCACTGTCATGAGCACTTCCCACTGTACATAGTTTTCTTCTTCGTCTTCTTCTTCTACTCCGTCTTCTACTTCGTCTAAAAATGAATTCTCACCTTCCGGGGATGGAACATTTGAAGAAACCAAGATTCCCCCGATACGATCAATAACGGAATCAAAATTCTCTCTCTCGTCAAATTGGGTTCTTTCATCGACCTCCTCGCACTCAAACTCTTCTCTTTCATTTTCAGTAATACGATAATCATTGACCCCAAAGCTATCATAATTATCTTCATCATTGACAATAAACCCAGAATTTAACTCAATTTCACCGGAATCGGACTCCAAATTCGGGCCCACAACACCAACCACAATTGCAGAAGGGTCTGCATCGGACCCAAGACGCGGACCGAACCCAAATTCCATCCCCGGATCCTCCGCCGGACCTGAATCGAAATCCCAGATTTGGTCATTCAGAACATGGACTTCGCGGGTCTCGAACAGATCGGTAACGAAATTCATCGGGTCATCGCATTCCTCTTCACCGCAGAAACAGCGATTTCGGCGAGGTAAGGAATCCGCATATCCGCAGCCCCAGTTTTCTTGTTCTACATTAAAATCGAACCTGAAATCGGTGGTGGTGTTGTACTCATCGGGAATAAAGAAAGAGGAATTGGAATTACTTGGTAGTTCCAATGAATCAAAATCGAGCAAATTTGAGCCTTGTCGATAGAATTCATCATATTGGTTTTCTTGTTCTTGATGGACCCTCACAGTGTTGCTGGCAATTGGCCTTAGTGGTGGTGGTTGTTGTTGAGACTGAGTCGCCGGTTCGTGGTGGTGAAAGCGGTGATGATCGGAGTCCTCTGCCATTGCAGAAGCCAGAAACTAAAAAGCAGTACCAATCTTAATCTATGTTATCTGACGGAAAATTTGTCTGTTACCAAGTGGATTTTTCACTTTATTATTATTATTTTGTTTCTTTGACGTGTTCAAAACTTCAATACAGCTGGCGGAATAAATTATTTTGTTTTGTTTTCTAGTGGAGAGTATTTAAAAGTTGTTTTTGGATTCGTTTGGATAATTTTTTAAAGTAGTTTAATAATTAGAAGATTTATTTTAAAGAAATTGATCAAATGCGATTTTCTCTAAAGGCGTTTTTAGAATAAGAAATGCTTTTAAAATTAATTTCCAAACAAATATTCAGATAACTTTCTCTAAAAGCTTTTCTGTAAAAAACACTATTAAGCCTTTGATCTTTAGGCCCTGTTTGGGAGGGATTTAGATTTTTTTACAGTAAATTAATTCTCATTTTCAAACACATATTTTCAATAAAATAATATTTTTCATCACATCAATAATTTTTTTTTCTTTTTCAATCACACGTTTACCATCATATCACTATTCAAAATCAATTCTTCCCCCAAAAATCCCTCCCAAATAAGCTCTTAATTTACTTTAAATTATCTCTAATACTCATTTTCAATTACATATTTACACAATAAAATATTTTACACGTAAATTTAAACTTTTCGTTATTTTTTAACCTCGCATTCTCCAAAAAATATTATTCAAAACATAATTTTTTTCAAACTAAAGGCCATCAAACTGGGACTATAGTTCAAGTTTCCATGGAGAAAATAGAAATTAAAGAGGCGTGTAAATTAATTATATCATGACATTTTGCACTAATTACTCTTTTAATATTTATTTGTGTGAAGTTTCGTTGCAATGGTTAGGTTAAAAGCAAAAATCGTGACGTTTGCTCTAAGCTGGAAGAAATTGACAATAGTTATATATTTTTTAAAATATTATTTAAATAACAATTGCCTGCCTGCCTTCCGTCATTCCTTATAGTCGTTATACTTTTCAAATTGTGAATTATTGAATGAAAAAGTCCAAAAAATATATAATTTTATTTATTTATTTTATTTTATTTTTTACAAACACAAGAAATACCTAACAATATGGCATGATATATGACAAAGTTGAATCAGCTTTAAAAAAAAATAATAATAATAATAATTATCTCTCTTTTTTTAAAAAAAAAATTGACTGACTGACTGGACAAACAAAAAAAACACGTTGTTGACTAATTATTTTTCCAAAATAGTCGGTCCACATAAAAATTTATAAAATAATAATACAAAAATAAACTTCCAAAAATCATGCATTGATTTTAGCTAATCAAACAAGGACTTTTTGTTTTAAACGTTCCAACGAAGAAGCAGCCATGGAAACTGCAATGCTGGTAAAATCACATCTACGTCAACGAAGAAGAAAACAATTCTTCATCATAATTACATAGAAAATACAGATAATAATAAAAATTATGAGCTTCCCAAATTTCATTTCTATTAGGTCCCATTTGATAGCACACATTTTCCATGTAATTTTTTCCATTTTCCAACTTTCCAAATTTTCCACCCTTTTGAGGAAAATAAATTCTTAATGTTTTGGTGGCTAAATATTTTCAAGGTTTCTTTTTTTCTTTTAAATTGGAAAAAATTCTAGACACAATGATAAAAAAAACTTCACTTTTATTGACAATTTTCATGCAAAACAAAGTCAAAAAAATTGTATTCGATATGATTATTTTTTTTTGACAGTTGGAACAAATTTTAGACCCAATGGTAGAAAACATTATCAATTTAATAGACAATTTTCATAAAAAAAAGAAGCTAAACGGACACCAGACTTTCAACATTTTCCATGAAAAATTATACTAATCAAATATGATTAATTACAATTCCCAGCAAAACAATTTTTAGGCAAATCAATTCTCTATAAAATATTTTCTTTCCACATATTTTCCACATTTGGAATCAAATGGACTCTTAGTGAAATTGACCCACAACTTGCCTTGGCATGCATGTTACATGACATACCTAACTTAGTTACTTTTTCACGAGGATCGATCTAATTTTTCACTTTCGTAAAAAAAACGACCCAACTCCGGTCATCAAAGAAATCCGTTTCCCGGCTTTCACAACTTTATATGACCATTTAAAAGGAACACCTCAAATCTATGTAGCAGCTAAAACTATCGAGATTGCTCTGTCTAATGTTGAAACAAATAAGCTGCAGCAAAAGATGAAATCAGCACTACACCAAGTGCCACGAGGATGTACTTGAAGTTGAGCATGTTTGCGTCTATATTCCTTACTGTCACGAGCTTGGAGATGGAATCAGCATGCTCCGTCTTCGTCTCGCTTGTAGGCGTGTCTGCAAACTTATTGCCCGTCTACAACAACAAATAGATTAATGTCAGCACGATGGAAGCCTCCCATCGGGAAATTTTATATTTTACAATTTCCACCAAAACATAGTAAAAGATTTGGTGGATGCCTAGAACAAATCCACCAGTGTCCAAAAAGATGGAAATGGCAAAGTTTAGATGTAAATTTTAAGTTACATTTTTTCCCCAATGATATATCAAATTTACTTTCTTTTTTATCACAAAACCTAATTTTGTAGAAAGTTTCAAAGTCTTTATTTTTCTAGAAAGTACTTAAAAGACTTATTTTTTATGATTAGCCAAACATGCTCTGAATATATGAAAAATAAGGCATGTTCTCTTTGCTATTTTCAGGCCGTTTTCTATTTTCGATTTTTCAAAACAACGAAAACGCGTTCTCTTTCGCATTTTCGAAAACTCATTTTCGAAAGCAAAAAAACAAAAATTTAAGCCTGAAAACAGAAAATGGCTAAAACATCTTTTTGTAAATTTTGTGGGCAAAATCAGAAAACACCAAAACGCGCGAAACTACTGGGGGGAAAAAAAGGGAAACAACGTATTTCTCTCAAAACACCTCACCCCTCTCTCTCCGTAAGACCAGAGGCATTTTCGAAAAGGGTTTGCTCTTCCTTCCCGTGAAGAAATGAAGCTCAATCGAAGGCGCAAGGGAAAAATTGCTTCGTTCCCGAGAGCTGACAGTAACGCCTCTCTGTCGTCGGCGGAGTAGAGGGCTCAATCAAGTGCGATTTGGAAGATTCCATGCTTAGGGCCTTGGCGATTCTCTTTGCTGTTGTTCGTGATTCGCCTGCTTCTCCCATCTTTATTGAAGGTTCGTAATTGAATTGCCTCAATTTCGATTCGATTTCCAAATATTGTTGTCAACAAGTTGTGTGCAATTTTTTTGGTTCATATAGTGGAATAGATTGGAAATATAATTCCTGCAGATAGGTTTAATTCATTGCTGGGAAAGAGAACGGGGTCTGGCCTGCAGGAGAA